GGCTTATATTTCCTTGACCTTTTCCAGTTTTTGTGGAATTGTCTTGTTCTTAAGTTCAGACAATTTATAAAAGACTTGATTGCGCATTGTGCTGTCTTTTTAGAGTCTGGAACCTCTCATAAATGATTACATGCCAGACATCGCCCTTGGAGTGTCTGCTATGACCCTGTCGGAGCACAGCGAGGCTCAAGACCTCACCCTTCGTCCTCATCCCACCTTGGCCTCTTCAATCCCTCACTACCCAACTGGACCCTGCCCGAGCGGAAGACACTCTCTCACACATCTGCCATGCAAGAGACATCCCCCCAAACCAAAAACAGAACCTCAGTCTGAGTATCCAGACCTGTATGACTTCTCTAGTCAACCAGACACCCCTACATCTAGCCATCCTCCTCAGGCCACCTACACAGGCTCAGACTTGTACAGCCACCGCAGAGGTACATTTAACAGCTTGCACCTCTCCTATCTCCCTGACACTTCCCTGTCTGTGCACTCCCAGGGCAGGTTAGGACAGCCAGCTGACTCCCTTCATTTGGATGTCTTGGGTCAAAGGCTGGACTTGGCCCAGACCTCCTCTGGAGGACCCTCTTTAGGGGGAGCTCTTGTGCCCAGTGGGTGCTCGATAAATGACTCTGACCTAACATGTGGTCTTGGACCTTCAAGGGTAGGTGCTGGCCCATACGAGGAGCACACACCAGTCACAGATGGCACAGGGAGCATGAGGGAGACCTCTGGAGGTGTTGTACATCACAGGGCCAGCAGTGAAGAAGCAGGGATAAGCCGGGAACACAGATCACCCAATACGCCAGAGTACCAGTATAAGAAATCTGCACTTTAATTGACGTGACAAAAAGGGAACTATGACATGGGGGCAATGACTAGTAAAACACAAGTCTGTTTAGGTTGTTACACTGCCAGTCAAAAGCTTAGAAACACCTTCTTGTAGAAGGGTTTGTGTTTTTGTTTTTTTAAGCCACCTGGAATGCTTTTCCAACAAGAGTAAAGATATTTAATTTTTTTTTTCAATGTTCATTTTGGAAATAAACTGATAAATAGCCATGACCAGCACCATTTATATTTGTTAAGGTAACAACTTTTCAAGAATTTAAAGGGCCCTTATCCTATATTTTTTAGTATTTCAAATTTTCCCTTGAGGTCTTATAACATTTGTGTAGTTTTGTGTACCAAAACCATCTATAATTTTTTTTATGACCATTTTTCAAACTTTTTTATCCCTTACAGTTAAACATGTCTTTGTTACTGCACCTTTAAGATTGATATATGTAAATGAGCTCTGATCTGCACTACATTGTACCTTATTCAAAAAGCAGTCCAGGCTGAATTCCCTTTTAACTTTAGCATGAATGGGTGGGGCTAAACTGCTGTAGACTGAATAGGTGGATATATGTAAATGTGCTGGGGTTTATGACATTAAAATAAACAATGAAATCTAAACAAGCTGCTTTTGTAACTTGGTTTCCATAAAAAGACAGTATGTACTGGTTAGTGAATAGTATGTTTTGGAACCTTGAACAATATTTACATACTCAAACTTTAATTTTAAAAAAGTGACCCTTTAAGTGCAAGCCTGTAGATCAAAATTTTTGAGTTTATGACATTACTTTCAATTGGGTGTTTCTAAACTTTTGACTGGTATTGTAAATCTTGGGAATGGAATGAAGAGGGTGTTACCTGTTATGTCAGAATGTTGTGAATTTTAAGCATGAGCTAATTAAGAATGAATGTGTTTTGTAGTTTTGCATTTTTGTGGATAGGATATTCAGAGAATTTTCTGTATTTGTTTTCAGTTTTCAACACCTTCCTTTTGACACCCAGAATAATTTAGTGATCACATTAACTGATGATGGTAACATCAATAAAATATGCCTACCATTAAAAATGGGGATCAGCATAGATCAACATTAATGGCATCACTACCATGGTATAAATTCTGTTTATCTACTATATGACACTTATATGAAAAATTGAGGACTTGGACTGAACAATTCGGGGAAAATATCTAATTGCGATTTTTCTGTGATTTAAATGGCAGTTATTTTCTATAAATGAAGGTTTGTTTTTTTGCAATGAAGACTAGAACATCCACTTTTTCAGCCAGTATGTTGCAGTTGTGATGTCACAACATATGAGGGTTTGGTTGCCTCTGATTGGTCAACTTATCTACAGGCAGTTCACAAGCTCTGTTATGAGGTTAAATTTCCCCTTTTAAAACTTGACATTTTTGATAACTTAGGCTATAACTGTAATAAATTGCAGCTCTTGCAATTTGAAAATTGCACTCTTAAATTGTGATTTCGGAATAAAAACGATGAATCTTTCAGCCCTAGTAAGGACTACCACAGCTTGAACAGCCCGGTAAAGAACTCTTTGGGGCTGCAGTCAGTAAATTGGGAATAAGATCAGTTTTATTTTGATTGGAGCAGGACATTGTTAGTATTTCTTATAGTAGGGTTGATAACCATGAGTCATCATTTGTGGGGTACTAGACAGACTTTTAGAATAGCCATCATTCACGTAAGAGCTGACTTATTGCCAGTCCATTTCAGCATGTTAGAAAGTGGGGAATTATTGGGGAAATTGTATAAAATTTGCTTTAAAAAACATTCTGACTGCAGCTTCAGTGTGACTGTTCAGATTAGTCCTTTATTCCTGTGCAAACATTGAAAACCAGTGCTACTAGTTTTCCATGACCATTCGTAAAAGCATGATCTTCATCCAGAAAAATATCTAAAATCCTCACTCTGCCGCAGGACAAATGTCTTTATACATATTGGAAAGAGTTTGTTTTCTTTTAGTAGTGATCATTTCCTCTAAGCATCCCATAGAAAGGCCATGCATGGACAGGGACTAATAGTATATTTAAACAGCAGCCATTGGTCTAAGAAATATAAAGGTTGCCATGTGCACAGTGTTATCATTGATCAGGTTCAATGGACTTGCAGTTCTGAATTACTATATAATTAATTGTGTGTTTTTAATGGTCTCATGTTCCCTGTGCTGTGTACGTATGAGGAAATGAGTGATGTTTTTATACCGATTGAGTAACACACCATTGCTAAGTACACATTTAAATTATGTAAGAGTCTCCTAGTTTCTACAATCAATCAGGACTGTTCAATATTTGCATTAGCACCAGCCTTGAGAATGATTAATCCACGTACTGTAGAGAACATACTGAACATGCTTGAATTCACCTCCTTCTCACATCCAGTGGCCTTAGCTGTGGGTTTTGATCTCAGACACCGTGGAATGATTGCAAGCCATTTCTCATTTTCCATGGTTTTAATGATTGTTCTTTTGGTCCAACTTCATTTAGCTCCATTAATGAAGTGTAGATTTTGTAGTGCAGGGCACAGTCTAAACATCGCAGTGAGTCCTAACTGCTTGATTTCTCATCAGATTTCACATTCTTAACAATGCCACCTGGTGGTACAGATGGATGCCAGAGAGCTTTGTGGTAATAGTGCACAGCTTCTGTTTTTTGCCAGTTGGCTAATAGCTACCGAAGGCTCTTCTCACAAGGATGTTATGTTTTTAGGCCTTCTGACACCCACATATTAAAAGGGGCTTCCCCCTACAAGTTTCACCAGCGTACAATTGAAAGTAAGATGTTTTATGTTTATTAGATTGCATGTTGATAAGTGATGTTACGTGTTTGCAATGTGGCAGTAGGACACTATATTTTTCATGCTTGACCCAAAATGAGAGTTGTATTCTTCATGAAGCAGCACTCCCTAATCAGATTCCATACTCAAAACATTTTGCTGGACACATTATTGCTTTATGGACAGATAAGTTCAACATTTGGGCTGCATAGCTATTTCCAATGCCTCTATAAAATGAACTGATGCAATGGATACAGTGTGCTATTGTTGGAAATGCCCTATACTTTTTGGAAAAGAAGTCATTACTAGCCTAGATCTATCTGTACTGTGGAAAAGCCCTTTAAGAAGGCAAATGCTGCTTATGCACTCTGGGTTGTTTTGCTGCTCACTAACTTACTTTAATAGCACAAAAGAAGAGGGATTAATATACATGAACAAACAGCGCTTGCATTCATCTCATAACACATTGCATTTGGTTGAAAAATGTAAAAAAAAATAAAAAAAATATCTCTTGTGTGAGATCTGAGGGCTTTAGGGTTCATCCTTGCATTCATGTAACACTGTAGAAGACCTGAAAGTCTGTGCCTTGCCTGGCAGAGGCTAAGTATTTTCTTAAAGTGATTTTGGCCTATGCAAGCCTTCTTAGGAGCCTGCGTCCATCTGTCAGTTTCTAAACTGCCTGTATTGCCTCATGTACATGAATTTGAAGATAGTATTTTTTGATTTTTAGGTACTTTTAAATCAAGACATGTGTTGTGGTTTGATAAGGTTGTTTCAAATAAGTATGTTGATTGTACTTTAATATATAATTGCATTTCTTGTAATGAATTTTGAATTTTCACTGGTTCTATTTTTCTACTTTTACCTCAAAAAGGGTAAATAACCATGACCAACTTTGTAGCTAGAGAGCATCTTCAAAATAAAGCTTCAATATTACTCAGTTGCAATTTCATTTTACAGTCTGGTTATTAGCATATTTATTAGTCTGAGACTTCCCATCCCCCTGCCCCCCCTCTCCAAAAAAAAAAATAAATAAAAATTCTATAGGTCACTAAAGGAAAAAAAAAAAATCACTGGAAGCTGGAGGAAAGTACAGTTACTGGCAAGTTCCTGTGAACATTTACTGTTCCTATTAAAACCTCCATAACCTTGGAACTCCTGTGGACTGTAGCCAGCTAATGAGTGCATCAGTGTATATTCACTTCTAGGATAATGACCATCTTGTATAAGAGCTCCTAAATAGACCTCCACCACTGTCAGCAGCACATCAGTGTCAAATTAGGTGAGAGGCATTCGATTAATAACACTCCAACAGCTTATAAAGTGCAGCAAAACATTTTTACACTCGCAAAGACCTCTCTTTAGCAGCAGCAGTCCTTTTGAATTTGCAGCTTTATTCCAAACAGGGTTTCTAGAACACTTTGAGAGAAAGTGTAGCTTGTCCAGGGTGTGGAATGCAACAATGGCCTGATCCATACCAGCTCAGCTGCAGTAGTACTGCCCAGCGCTGGACCGTCTCCTTTTCCTAGCCTGAAGCTCTTCGAAAAAGGTGCGGATAGCTTCAGGGGTCACCTCCTATAGTTACATTGTAAAACGGAGAACGATAAAATCATTACAAAAAAATAGTTTTCAATTAGGAAAACAGCAATTGCAAATCCTAAAATACTGAAAAACAACATGAATCATACAAAATTTGCCCTAATATTTAAAAATCTAAAAAAGCCTAAGACTCCTTACCTTCCCCTGGTCTGCGAATTCCCGTAGGAACGCATGTAGCTCAGCCTTCATGTCATTGTACTCTGATGAGACAAAAATCAGACACTTTGACCAAAACATTCACCAACAAGGATACTGTCCATGTGGCTTAATATTAATGCTTAGGGTAAACTAGGTAGTAAAGAGCTGCTCACGGTAAATGATCTCCAGTTGCTGGACACGGTCCAGGGAGTTAAGGCAGGACATAAGCAAGTCTTCCCTCAGCAGTGCTTTGCCCCTGTTCTCATACGCAAGTACAGTGTCTGACTCATCCAGCAGGAACTGAACACCTGCCTCCACATACGCTCTCTGAGCAAACAGATCAGTCACAGTCAAACCACAGACTTGTTGCAGGCTAATGTGGGAAAACCGCACTTTATTTCAAATTCGAAACTGAATATGTAATTCATAATATTCACATGAAAATTACTTGGGCTGAGAGACTTAAATGGTATAGACAGGTGACCTGATCTGAGAGTCTTTTTGATGCTCACGGTCAACATAATTATCTACCACTTTAAAGACACTACAGTATAGTACATACATCATTAAAACGTCAATAAAATTCCATTTGCATCATTTAATGCGTACATAAATCATACCTTGCAGCCTGTGCAAGTGCAAAGCTTGGACCGCCAGCAGTAAGGCCAGAACACTGCCCCAACCCTGGGTCTCACCAAGCCTTTGGCCTTAAGCTCCTTTAATTTACATGGTGAATTTTCAGATTGGCATGCTGATGAAGTGCTCTCCATCTCCTCATGAGTCCTCTTGTGGCTTATGGCTCTAGTACCATTAAGAGTAGGCTGCTAAAATAGGAATAGAAATCATTATTTTCATGCATAATATTCATCCATAGGAAGACGTTTTAGCATTGTTTTTATCATCAGGACAATTCTTGGAAACCCCTAGCCATAGAATCATCTTTTGTTTGAGGTTTTGTGCCCTCTGCTGGAAGAAGATGAACAATGACAAGCCTAACCTTGCCTAGACCAATTGAGAGCAGGAGCAGCAGCACCACCATCAACCACACCCCTGCATCTTCTAGGTAGTAGTGCAGACTTGAAGTCATATATCATAATATTTTACAGAAATAGCCTGTTAGTGTATCCTCAGATGAGTTTGCATTAATAAAGTTAATGACTCCCTACTTTATGCTAAAAGAATGTCACACCTGATACAGCATGTTTTGATTGGAATGTTATTTTCTCTTAAAATTATTCCTATACCGAAGAGAACCTTTGACAGTGTTGTACATATTAACCAGACAGAATCCAGGGTTTTGTCTCACAAACACTTTTGCCAATGCCACTACATAAGTGCTTATTGGAGTAATAACTGGTTTGTGTCCTTGCTTTCATGTACTATGATTTGTCTCCTCTCCTGAGAAGCAATATTTTTCACAAACTGATACCAAAAAAGTGACCCAAAAAGGACTGGAGGGATCCACCTCCATCAGAAGACTGTCCCTGATCTGTCCCAGAGTTGTTTATGATTCAAAATCCCAGCAGGTTAGGCATGCTGGTGGTGTAAGCTGGTAATAATGTGATCCACCGTTGTGAGAAAGAAAATCCAGGTAAAGATCAAAATCAAGTTTTAACTAAAAACTTATCTGGCTAAGAAATATATACTGCTTTGTAAGACAGGCCCCAGATTGCAGTTAAGTGTCAGGTCTATCAACCTGAAAATCAACATCATAGCGCGACACCCAATATCAGGACTGATATGGATGATGATATATATCGCCCTGTACTAGTGTAAATGCTCCATAATCTTTTTAACTTGCTTAATTTGTACTGAGCCGTAGTGTGCTGGCCGGCAGCTGACAATGCTGTAACACTGCAATTTCACTGTCATACACTTTGGTTTGTTTCTCATCTTTACCTCCTTTTGACAGCCTTGACTTGTGGAAGGTTCATCATGCCCATTCCTGCATGGATGCAATGTTGTTTCCTTCTCTTCTTCATCATCCACCACAGTCACATCTTCATCCTCTTTACTGGTTACCGGTGAAGCTTTTAGAAATGCAATACATATTACATTAAAAAAAAACACACACACACACAATATAAGTGTAAAGCCTGTTGTGAAAGTCCTGAATGAACATATTCAATCAGCTATTAAACAAACAAGTGTATGTGAGAACACATATAACCTACTTGCAAAGTATGCAGCATAGGTCCACAGGAAAGGAGCTCTGTTCACACAGCTCTCACATACCATCTCCAGTAACTCTTCTGAGTCTACTACTGCACAGCCCAGGTGCTGAGATAAAGAAAGAGACGCTCAGCCAAAAAATCAGATTGTAAATTAAACTGCACGTAAGATTTGATACCACAAGAAGAAAACCCTGGTTGTAAAGCAGCCTACCTTTGAGTGGTACCAGTCTTCACACAGAATACACTGTATCATTTCTTCACCAACCTTCAACAGAAGAAATATGACAAAAATGAAAAAAAAGACTTGATAACAGTAATTACACATGCATACACTACCAAGGTCACCAAGCAATGGCTTGTGCTACATACCTGATCATCATCATCAGGGTAAGGTCTGTCACAGGAGCAGTAACGTCCAAAGTAATTGTGGTTATAAAGGTTTTTGGTGTTCTGACCATCTTTTTCCTACAAAACATTTGATAAATAGAGAATTATGATGATATTTCCGGAAGCAAGAAGAGAACAAAAAACCCAGTATCAATTCTAATCAACATTATACGCTGACATTAAACATATGCAGTAAACAGATGGCATAATTATGTATCAACTTACAGGACTAAGTTTGCACTTAAAAGAACCAAATTTTCTATTCCCACAATCACAGCGAAAGTTCCTGTTAAAAAAAAAACGACAATTACAAGTGAGAAAAAAAAGTTTGTTCTAGTAAATTAAAACGGTAATGGTGCAAAGTATGCATTAAGTCAACACACACAAGAAGTAATATCACAGAAAAAAGCTTTAACTGTGCTTTTAAGTATTGGCAGTTTATACCTTTTTGTATACAGTTCAAAGATGTCATGGCCATCATGACAGTGGTTAGCACAGGCGAGGCAAACTCCAGCTGGCTCCATGCCTTCACTTGTGCAAGTACTGCAGGCAAACACGGCCTGTCTCTTCACATACCCCTGCACCATGGGGGGGGAACAAAGGCCATTACTGTATTACCATACATAGTCAGACTACCTTCACCAGTAAACCTATAAGCTTGGAGATAAGGTATTAAGCAATCAATTGCCCTAAAATCCACCATATGTCCAAATGTTTGTAGACACCTGATTGCATTCAGCCACAAGAACGTTAGTGTAGGACAGGTACTGATGTTGGATGATTAGTTCTGGATCACAAACGGCACTCCAACTCAAAGATGCTGGAGTTCCATCACTCCAGACAATACATTTCCACCACTCCTCAGCTCAAAGCTTGGGGCTTTATACCCCTCCAGCTGATTCATGGCATTGGGCATGGTGACCTAAGACTCATGTGTAGCCGCTCCAGAGCATCATATTATATAGGCAATGCTTTTTTTAAGGGAGATTATACCATTGCAAAGGTATATTATTTAAAAGTAGGACCTTAAAGTAGCTGAGCTCACTAATTAAAAGGCGTGTCTGGATACTTTAAGGCATAAAGTGTAAAAAGCATGTCCACTTCAAGACCTTCTCTTACTGAGACGTCTGCATTAATTCAGATGTCCCCCTCTCTCTCTCACCTGCTGATAGGAGCACTGGTTGGGGTCACTGCCAGCCAGAACTGCAAGAGCTTCACGAAGCTCCTCATCCTCAGCTACATCCACCAATGACAGAGCAGCCTCCTTTCCTTCATTAACAGCCATTCTTTGGTCGACACACACAAAAAGAGAACCCGTTTAAGTTACGGTAACCGCTGAGGAAAATATTAGGTAGAAAAACACAGGATCCTGATACATACGCGATAGCAGCAGCACAAAGCGGCTACAAACACTAGCGGGAGAAACAACATGTGATTTCCGGTTTGGACCGACGTCAAACTTTTGGCGGGATTTTTTTTTCATTTCACTTTTCAGTTTTTTTACATAATTTGAAAATGCCTGTTGTCCTTTACATTGTATTTAAATTTCATGATGAATGGACCAAAAGAAACGACCCAAAATGGCTTGGAAAAAAGTCTGGTTCCATTGAGTTACATTAAAAGTAAAGTGTTTTTTCCTTTTCCTGTAAAGTTACCATTTTGGAGATACGAGGTTTTGTTCTGACAGCAGCGATTTATTATATGCATATAATATATTTGTCTATATATGTCCACCAGTTTGTCATAGCTATTTTCGTCACTGATATGTTTAGGCAGTCTAATCCAGGATAAGAGTTCACATTCATCTCATTTAGCTATTTATTTAACTTAAACTTAAGTTCAATTTATACAATTACGACTCAATCTCTTACACTATCAGTCTATACCTTTTGATATACACTACAACAATGCACTAGGTCATTGCTATTTTTGTCACTGAGGTGTTCTGGTAATTTAACGTAAATTAACCTGCTGTTATAGAAACGTATAGAAGCCCACCGGGGTGTATTTAAAGGACCGGTTATTAAACCCAGATTAAGCACAATAATAGACTAAAAAGGATTCAATGTTAAATCTCTTCTGGCATTTAATCCTAGACTAGACTTAACTCGCACCCAAAAAACCGACCCTGCAAGTACAGTAATTTCAACCTAATAGCAGCCTGGCTTTTTTTAATCACAGCTGACCGAACTGTCGCCATGAAAAGATACCTGCATAATTTTGAGAAACATGTGAACACCTCTTACCTTCTCCACACAGAAAACGAGGCCAGTCAGATGTTAAACGGTGAATGAGCCCTTCATTAAACCGAACACTGAACAATGGGCTTCTAAAGCTCATTATGACGCGAAAACAGCCTTTCTAACGTGTAAAGTCTCGCACAAACCCGAGACCTTATACTCTGTACCGGTATTTTCCCCCATACCGGGTACTTTTAAACAGCCTGAAATTATGTAACTTTTTGGAAATGTGTAAAGATGAGACAATTAAATAATCTGAAATATAGTTGTACAGGTATTTATATAATAGAACAATAATATTAGAGGTATACAGTTGAAATAATCTATTGTAGCAGAGGGTACAAATGCTTTTTGACTCATAAGCCTGTCAGATAAAGGGAGAAGTCAGGAACATTCCTACCGGATAGTCTTCACTTTGGGTTTAACTGAGAAGCCCTCATTTGCGAAATACATCCCTACACCAAAATTACAAGTGTGGTTTGTGTGTTATCGCCCTCCTATTTCTCAACAGGGGTGTTTAGAAAAGGATTTATGTGATCTTCTCACCATGTAGTAAAAAAAATGCGCAAATTAAAACAACCTTTGTTCTTCAGCCTCCGCTCAGACACATGCGCAGTTGTCTGCCTTCCGTTGCCAGGGTAACGAGAAGCGTGAGGCTTAGCTAATAACATTAGCACGCTAGCAAGTTATTATCAGGAGGGTGTTTACAGTTAGCTAGCGCTCCAATATTTCCCTGAAAATGGAGGTGACCTTGTCTGTTGACCCACTTTTTCTTGCCTGGAGCTATTTCAGGCGACGGAAGTTCCAGAAATGTTCGGATATTTGCACAAAGGTGTTGGAAGACAGCCCGTACGACCAGGTTAGTTTGTTTAGGATAGCCGAGCTTAGCCTAGCAGCGTCGCTGGGTCCATTAGATTTAAGCCGATAAGCTGGATTGTAACGCTAGCTAAATTAACTCTAATGCTGGTTATACGCTGTTAGCTTTCAAACATATTCATGTGGTCCGCTATCTATTGTTATAGCACGATCAGCTAGCTAAGTTAACCTTAGCTAGCTGCCTGACGGTGATTGTTCAGTATTGTTGAATATCTTTACTAGGTTAAGTAAGTTACACTCTTATAGAAGATGGTTCTTCTAGGGTTCGTTAGTAAAGACAATGGCTCTGTAAAGAACCATGGACACTCAGAGGACCATTTGCACGTTTAAATTGTTCATTGCAAGATGAAATCGTTCATCAGATTGATAAAAAATGTATTGTAGTTATATGGTTCTGTGTAGAACCCTTTTGAAAATTGTTCTATTTAGCACCAAAAGGGGTTCTGCTATTGTTACGATGTCAAGTTTGTAACAATAGAAGAACTCTGTGGTGATATATACAACTCTTTTTTAAAAATGTTTTATGTAGAAGTATATATAACACACTGTCTATCAATCTGAAGAACCATTTCACCGTCCAAACAACCATTTATGCATGCAGATGTATCTTTGAATGTTCCTGGTTCTATATAGAATCATTGTATTTGCTAAAGAATTCTTGAAGAACCATTTTTTGAGTGTAGGTAACTTTGCTGGCAAGTTAACAGATACTCTGTCACTAAGAAACGCACTGGTTTCTAAAAAATCATTCTGTCTTCAGGAAGTTTTAAAGGGGTTTGTGGAATCACAGTTTTGTAGTAGTTTATTTTCTTTAAAGATGTGGTTTGTCAGGTCATTAACGACTAATCATTAGAGATTCTCTCACTTTTTAGCTACTTATAATTTTATCACTCTTTTCCCCTTTGCAATTTTTTTTGCCAAGGAACATGATACATTACTCCATATTTCTGAGGTAACGATCAACCTGTTCCTGTTTTTATTATTATGTCTCCTGTCCCCCTGCTGCCAATCCCCCCAAATGCCCCCCTGGAGTCCCCACTGCTCCACTGCTGCCCAATGTACTGAGGTGTACTCAAGGCAGTTAGAAACCCAACCTTACATCCACCCTCACTCCACCCTCCACTTTTACATGGAGTTTTCAATGTGTTGTTGAAAACCTGTAGCAATCCGGTAGCCTCCATAACATGCTCCTGCATATAATCTCCTTGTCTCTCAAAGACATCCTTTTATGTGAAATCACACCATCATACAAGCTAGCATTTGAGTCTTTTTGGGAAACATTGTATCTCTTCATGGAAGGGACTGTGCTCTCCAACACAGAAAGACAAGTCTAGATATAAGGCACACTGGTGCAATGTTCTGATTACTTTAAGGCGGCATGGAGTCTGAAGACAAGGGCACTGACTGAGATGGTGTACATCGATGAAGTGGAAGTGGATCAGGAGGGGATTGCAGAAATAATGTTGGATGAAAGCTCCATTGCACAAGTTGCACGTAAGTGCTACAGCAGTTCTACCATATCAAGCTCTCATAAATGCTTTGATGTTAATCTAATCTATGCTAGAATTAAATTGGTTATGTTTTGTCAGGCCCTGGAACATCGCTAAGACTTCCTGGAACGAGTCAAGGTGGAGGACCTTCTCCAGCTGTCAGGTGCATACACGTGAAAGGGATTAGTTTAGTTAAGCTCTATCATTTTATGTCCCTATGTGAAGCTCAGTTTCAGAGCCATTTACCCTCACATAATCAGCATGCTTTGCTGAGGTGACGGTAGAAGGCTGCTTAGTTGTTATTAACCACCAGTGTTGGACACAGAAAAAAAATTCTGCTGCCCATGGCCATAATCACAAATGACTGGAATGGTGTAAATGCCAGGCTGAACCAGAATGAAAGCCTATGTTTCAAATTAGGCCAACTGAATATATTATAATTATTTGTTTGTTTAATTATTTGATGGTTTGTTTTGTTTGGCTTTTGAGTAATGGATTTGTCTAACATCTCTTAGACCAATGACTCAGTCAGGACGCCCCATCACAGGATTTGTAAGGCCCAGCACTCAGTCTGGTAGACCTGGGACTATGGAGCAAGCCATCAAAACACCTCGAACTGCAAACACTGCACGTCCAGTCACCAGTGCATCTGGCAGATTTGTCAGATTGGGCACGGTAGAGTATTAAACAGTGTGATTTAAAGAATGTTTAAATGTTCTGCAGTGTTCTGATATCCAGTATTCTAGTACCACCTGCAGTCTTCTTAAAGCCATGTCTTTATGTTTCTGTACAGCAATACCAATCACTGTGCATTCAAAAATATCTGTAAATTCTACCTGTTTGTCATTTCAAAGTTGTAATCTTCTGTCTTTTTTAGGCTTCAATGCTAACAAATCCAGAGGGACCTTTTATAAACCTGTCCAGGTTAAATTTGGCAAAGTATGCCCAGAAACCAAATTTATCTAAGGTATGTCAAAGCTCTGACAATGTTTAATTATATCATGAATTGCAGTTGTCAGAAAAGGTTAAATCCATTTTTCTTTAAATACTTCTGCTTTTTCTCTCTAGACCTTATTTGAATACATCTTTCATCATGAAAATGATGTAAAAAATGTAAGTAGAACCACTCACTCACTAGATGTTTATGTATACTTGTTTCCAGTCCATGTGTTTTATCAGTTCTCAATATGGAACATTGTAGGCATTGGACCTGGCAGCTCTCGCCACCGAGCATGCCCAGTTCAAGGACTGGTGGTGGAAGGTCCAACTTGGGAAATGTTATTACAGGTTTGTCAAACTGTTGTAAAAACATGTTGTCCATTAATTGCATAATGAAGATAAAATCTTATCCAAATTTAGAGGAACTGTTATATAAATATGTAGGTTGTTATGCTTTACATATAATTATTTGCTAGTTTCAGTAAAGCATTTGTCTTTTCAGGCTTGGTTTGTATCGTGAAGCTGAGAAACAATTCAGGTCAGCCCTAAATCACCAAGAGTTTGTAGATACCTACCTCTACCTTGCAAAGGTATAAAGTCACCTCCTTTCATATCAACTTGTTACACACAAATAGAACTAACAGAAACATAAAATAAAAAACTTTGCTCTTTCTGTTGACTGGTACACAGGTATATCAGCGACTGGATCAGCCTATAACTGCCCTAAACCTCTTTAAACAAGGTCTGGACCATTTCCCAGGAGAAGTTACTTTGCTGACTGGAATTGCTCGCATTCATGAGGCATGTATTATTGTCAGTCTTAACAATTCAGCCTAATTAAAAGCCATGTAATTGTAATTATACTAACAAGCAGAACTGTATTGTATCCTTTGCCAAATGTAGTAACTCACAACTTTGGCCATTTCCAGGAGATGAATAACATCAATTCAGCAACCGAGTACTACAAAGATGTCTTAAAGCAGGACAATACACACGTAGAGGCCATTGCCTGCATTGGAAGCAACCACTTCTATACAGACCAGCCGGAGATCGCCCTGCGCTTCTACAGGTCATTTTTTCTGATTGATGTGGAAGAAAGAAGATTATTTTATGGGAGTTTATGTGGCAACTGTAGTTACTGCATCTGATTCACCTTGTCTCTCCTTCTGTCTGTTTTTTCTCATCTTTTCATCTCTCTTTCTGTCTCAGACGGTTGCTGCAGATGGGTGTCTATAACTGCCAGCTGTACAATAACTTGGGCCTGTGCTGCTTTTATGCTCAGCAGTATGATATGACTCTGTCCTCATTTGAAAGGGCATTAGCCCTGGTTTCAAGTGATGAGGAACAGGCAGATGTCTGGTACAATCTTGGACATGTTGCAGTGGTGCGTCAGATCTTTTGAACCAGCCCTAGCACAACCTCTTTCAGAGAAAAAAATGATGATATAAACAGTTTTGCTTGTTTCAAATTAATGGTAATCATAAGGAAAATTAACAGATATTTAAATTAGTTTTGTGGTTCATGCAGCATTCACCATTTTGTTTCATTAAACTTCTCTCAATTGCAGGGTATAGGTGACTTGCCTCTAGCTTATCAGTGCTTTAAACTAGCTTTGGCTTTCAACAATGATCATGCTGAGGCTTACAACAACTTAGCAGTACTGGAGCTGAGGAAAGGCCGCATTGAGCAGGTGAGACATCACAAAGTGAACAAATCACTGGGACTGCTGTTCATTAGAATGCTGTTTAGCAGTGAAAAGGCCAGACTCAGATCAATATTGAGCAAACTGTTTAAGAATTCTATAGGGTGATTTAGGGTGTTTAATAGGATATGTACTTCTCATGGTAGTCTTGGTCAAAAACATGGTCAAAAACAAATATGTTAAACCATATCAAACAGTGAGAAATTACTTCAGCTCTAGTCATACACTATATAGACAAAAGTATGGGGACACATTTCCCAATTATTTCAGCCACACCCATTGCTAACAGGTGGATAAAATTAAGCACATAGCCTTGCCTTCTGGATAGACAAACACTGGCAGTATGTGGTAGTATTGTTGTAATGTAGTCATTCTTTTCTTTTGTTGCAGGCTAAAGCTTTTCTGCAGACTGCTGCTTCTCTGGCCCCTCACATGTATGAACCACATTTCAACTTTGCTATACTATCGGACAAGGTACGGATTACTGAACTTTTCTTCGTCTTAGCCTTATTGGACTCCTTAGCAAGAACAAGTGGCTTATATGTGATTTTAGAACATCTGTAGATGTTTCAACATTCAGCAATTGATGTTACTACATTTATTTTCCTTGTTTCCAAAGGTTTTTCAAATATACTATTATAAATATAATATTTTTGTATATTTGAAAGTATCTTTGAGCATCATTGCAGAAGACATTCATTTATTTAGTAGGAAAAGGGGTTAATAGATAATCTTCCCCTCTGTGTGTGTGTGTGTGAAGGTGGGCGACCTTCAGAGTAGCTACATGGCTGCCCAGAAGTCTGAGGATGCCTTCCCTGAACATGTGGACACTCAGCAGATCCTGAAGAACCTCAGGCATCATTTTGCTGTGCTATGATTTGGCAGTCATGTGAAATGACATATCAGAGCACATGCAAATAATGTTTAGAGACGCTTAATATTTTTTCCCTAGGCAGACCAAAGACTGTTTTCAGGAAAGATTTCATGGATTCGATCACTGTAATGAGTCTTATAAACTGTGAGCAAACAGAGAAAGTTAGCTATAAAGGGTCTGAGTTTTGTGAAGTGGAAGGTAGTGCGATTCCATTAAATATAATGTGAAATGTAAACTTGTGTTAAAAAGTGTTTAGTATTACACATGTATAATGTCCATAATGTTTAAGCAAGTAAAATAATTTAAAATTATTTAAAATTATCATGTTTTTTGCAATGATACTGTACAGCGATATTTTAGAACAGGTAAAATGTTCCAGGCTGCCAAAGCAGCAAGTGTGCGTCTGCAAGCTACTTAAAAATAAGAAACACTCACCTGAAGTAATTAAGAGTCAAATTTCATAATCTTTAACAAAAATAATAATAATGATATATCAGGATGATTAATATATAATACAATGGGGATTGCATTATGTTCCTGGGACATTGTGGATTCTAGGGTGTTTTAGTTATTTCCTTCTCACAAATCCATTTTAGTGGGTGTGCACATGGTACATCATTCCAAGACTTCATTGGATTGTTGGTAGGATATACGGCTGCGCAATCTTCAATCCCATATTCATCATTTGGCTCTCCATCCATCCAGTTTCTATAAAGGAAATTATGCTGATTTTTACCTTGATCCAACAACTTAGAAAATGAACTGCAGGCATAGCACAAGCCAAAAGGCAGTCAAGGTAATTATGTTTAGCATAAAGGAGCACTTTTGCATCTTATATACATTATAATTATGTACAGTTGCATGCAAATGTTTTAACACCCCAGTCAAATTGCATGTTTTATTGGTTTTTGTAAGTGAAAATAAGTTAACACATCCTCTACAGGCAACAAATATAAATATGACATTTGTTCTGCGAATTGTGCACAATTTGTTTGCTTATTTATTTATTTATTTGAACCAAAAAACATCAATTATCATGTGTGCCATCACGTGCAACATTTATAGTTTACTTTTTTATGATATGTTCAATTCTGCAGATAGAGTGATTGAATTCAGTGATTGTGCATTAAAATGTGCAGGAGTGTGCACTCTCTGTGCACCTCTTTGTAGAGGATGTGTACTGAATCAACCATAAATGTAATTTGACCAGTGGTGCCCAATCTTTTACATATGACTGTATGTATCCTACATCATATACACTTAATCTGACTACCCTTCAGTCATATTGGTCCCGTGCAGCCATTTCCAGACCCCTTCTGTATGGTCATCCTTCAGTCCCATCCAGAATCCATTTCGATAATTAAATTGTAAATTGTACTTCATTGCCCTTAAGGTGTCCGATATGAACTCCTAATAGATAAGAACAAACAGAACCATAGGATTAATAATTATCACAGGTTAATGGACTTTTATAGGTTAAAGTGGCAAAGTTTAACCCCCAGAACGACCCAGAAGGATAAGCGGCTTAGATTGTCTGTGTGTGTGGGTGTGGGTGTGGGTGTGGGTGTGGGTGTGTGGGTGTGGGTGTGTGTGTGTGGGTATGGGTGTGGGTGTTTAAACATTAGTTTATGAGAAGGTAGACATACACAACTTATTTAAGGTACACAACTGTACCTTAAAACCACTGTTTGAGTTTACATGTACATTGTATGTAACTTGATGAGTGAAATATGTATCTGCAGAGTACCATTTTTTTCTGACAGTGTACAATGGTGCCACATTAGACTCTAGAGTAACATTTTCAGGATTAAAGTGAAAATCCCCTTCTGTTAATGTATCTTAAAGGTCAGAGGAACTTTTGAGAAACTTCTTAGTCATAGGGGAGGATACTTGGGGCCAGAATGTTTTTTCCCCTGGCTAACTGGCTAATGCAGAAGAAGCCAGATAACTAACGTTACTGTTAGGTAGCCAAATGTCAAGTCTTTATTTATTAGCCTCTACATCTGTGGCTATGCTAACAGTCAGGATTTCTTTGTTAGCAGCGTCACCGTAAGTGGAAAATGAATGGATCACCTCTTTTGGATTTGTGCACTTCAGTTTTCTGAGTTCTCTTTCAAAATTAATAACAGCCAGTTTTCAGCTGTGTAAGCCAGTTGTCAGACATCCCTAAGCTAACGTCCCATCTTTCTCCATAGTATGTAAAGAAAGTCACAACACCTCTTCACGCTACTTCTTACAAAATGTTACAGAGTGCCTCAACACACTTGGAGAAGAGCTCTGTCTTGCCTGGTTTTGTCTAAGTGCCTTTAAATGACACATTATATCAACCAAGACAAGCTATGTATGTCGTTTAGCCTCTGGACGCACTCTCAATAAGCAGTGATAGAACAAAATTGAACAACATTCTAGGAAGGAAAGTGATTAAGAGAAGCAACAGTTTGTGGTATCTGTATGTTCACAGGGTTTGGACATTCATTCCTGTGTAGTTCTTCATCCACACTACACTTTTATGTTGGCAGTTAACACATGAATACCTTTTTTAATCTGATGTTTTATTTAGTTATTGTGAATTTTATGGAAGTCTATTTTTTTCTTTTGAATTATCAGATGAATACTATAAATCTGTAAAAAAAACTCATAATCAAATCTCATTTAGAATGTAAAACAGCACAATGTGGTAAGAAAAGTGTAATATCACCTGCTCCTCCTTTGAATTTATGACAAGTAAGTCAGCTCCTTTTTTGGTGCACTCTTGCCTGCCTGCAGCCCAGCCCTTGCGTGGAATAGCCTCAGACACAGCAAAGAAATAACACGTGTTGTTCATCAGCAGCCAGTGTGGAAGGCACTGGCCACAGTTTTCTTCTGTCTCAGTAAGACAAGAGATAAAATAAAAGATAAAAAGATGAGATATGAAATAGAAATTAGAAGAAACCAAATTGTTTTATTGTTTCTATTACTTTGTGTGAAAGACCTTTATTCGTGTGAGACAGTAATGATGAATAGAATAGTCTGTGAATCATTTTAGCCATATGCTCATCATGAAACAAACTTACCAAGATTTGTGAGCTGAGACTTTAATTTTCTTTTCTCTTCCCTCAGGTCACGATTCTGAGACTGCAGTTCATTCTTCAGTCTCGTTTCCGTGGCCAGGTTTGTCTGCAGAGATTTGATCTGTTTTGTGTCTTCATCGTGCTTGTCCTGAAGTGCCTTTTTGGACTCGATCAGGCTTTTGTGGTCTGATTTGAGCTGTGCAAGTTCAGAATTGATCCTGGAGGTGTTGAGAGACAAGCTGTTGTGATCGTCACTCACCCTGTTAACTGAGAGAATAACAGATTAGTATACATGGCAACTTAACCTTCTGAACTTACTTTTGTACATTTTGTGGTGAACATAAAATATTGAGCATTTCAGTAAATACTCACTGCGAACACTTAGTCCTATCATAATGGCCAATAATACAGCACTGAGGATGCCCAGACTTATGGTTGCCAACTGGTAAGGCCTTGATCTGGGTCCATCTCTGACCATGAACCTGGACACTGGAGAAGAGAAAATAGTTAATAACATCAACATTCAGTACATTCTGTCAAAAAGAGTTTAAAAACTACATTTGAATGTGTCATACAGTTACTGCTGTTAGGCCTGTAATGATTTATCTTATTGCTCTTTTCCTGTCTAATAGTTAATCTACATCAGTCTAGGAAAAAGCTCCTGTCATTTAGGTTATGGGTCTATAAAGAATTTCTGTGTGCAGCTCCTTTCATTTTTAGTGTGTATTTTCTAACTGGATATCTATAGGTTACAAAATGTGATACATTTTTATTACATTTTTAATTAATGTTGTGCTATAACCCGAAATGGCCATTGTTTATTCAAAATATGCAAAACCTTCAGCAGTAGAATATAGGCACTTGTAGCAGACCTTGAAATATTACATGGACACTTCAAATTTTCAAAATTTAAATGTCCTCAGGAGCTCAGTCTTTTAAACCTACCTATCTGCTTGAACTAGACATTTGGCATCCTTTCTTTGCTGCATGTTTATTAAGACCTCGGCTCAATTCCTGAGCTGCTGAGCTAATGTTAAGTGTTTATATTGGTTGAACTGCAGCTGTAATACATTTTGGTGATATGACTGGTGTGGACTTAGATAGTATTGTGTAGAATTGAGGTGTAACCGGGGGCTCAGAGATTGTTGTTGGGGTAGAAGAGTCGGGGCACTTTATATTGCAGTGCTTGCTGGGGACTGTAGTGCTAATATTAATAGAAAATGAAAATACTTTTGCCAGCCAGATGGAACTGTGTTTTACACATGGGGTTTAATGTGTACATTGTCTGTATTCCCCTAATACTTAATTATTAGTTTGTCTACAATAGGAAATAATATGTAATAAATTAATTACATTCAAATTGTGAATGTTTAAGTGAAAAAAATACTTTTCAATAAAGTGGTTCAAGTCCAAAATTTCAGTCAAAAGTCCAAAATGTGTAGGAACACTAGCCAAAGAATAAACATGTCTATATGTGTCTTTTGTCTTTTGGGCTTATAACAATCAAAGGGGATGGTTAGGGCTTAGTATAAATACAGATGGCAGAAAAACAAGTTATTCCTGGTTATAAAAAAATACTGCCTCTCTGATAAGTTATTACAAGATGAGGTAATCTGTATTTACTTTAACAAATTACAATCAATCTTAAAGACAAATGACAAGAATGTGCTCAAACGCTCTTAATAAGCAGGGGTGGGCGATATGGCAAAAAAGTTATATCATGATTCTTCAAGAAATCTTTCAAGACACACAATATACATCACAATATTTAGTGTTTCTGAGATTTAATAAGTTGGAACAGACAAAATAGAACCGTAGTGCCACAAAAAAATACTATAGTAACAATAATAAATCTACAAATACACTGATTTTTATTCAATGTTTGACAGATTGTGCTGTGCGAAATCAAATTAAACAGGCCTAATTATTCTCACTTAGTAATGAAACATGTAGGTAGTCAGTGTTCTTTATGAACTGATAATGTCCACAATATGCTCAGAAAAGCATATTATGATATAATTTATCACAATAACAAATAGAATGTCATCATATTGCCCACCCCTATAAGTAAAAAATAAAAGATGAACAGGCTGAACATTTTTAAACATTTAATGGACAAACAATGACTTACCATTCGAATAAAGAGGATGCTCATCTGCAGTGAAATCATCATTAGTTTCGTAATCATTGTATGTTTCTCTAACCTTGTTCGTTGAGGTCTCTGAAGCTGTCATTTCCCTAATAATTCTACAAACAGTGAATTAAATGTCCGTGCTCTCTCCTCAAAGCACACACTGAGCTATCTTCTGTTTGTGCAAATAGGGTCATTGTACTTACTGGCAGTTGCTTGTGGGTGGACTTATGCTTACTTATGCTTCAGGTGGGGGTTATGAGAGAAAAAGGCAAACCATTTTATGTAAATCAAACTAAAACATACATTTATGTACAGCCCAAAATTAGACAACTGTGATAACATAATTAGAATATTATTAACCAAATAATAAACAGTTTATCTTACATGTAGTCAGCCTAGTTTAACTTTATCAAAATACAGTGTTTTTATAATAGCAAATGTGGATCTTACAAGGTGCTTCAGAAGTGTTTCAAAGTGTGGGCTTAAAATATACAGTAAATAACCCATATGCTACATTATTTCTTGTATTTACATTTTCCCCTGAAGTCTACATATGACATTTGTGTGGGTTTATGTACCAAAAACAGTTGAAATTCATTCATTTTACATATCGTCACTGTCCAAAGAAAAACAAGTATCTCCAAAATAGCATCTTCACAGAAGAAGTCAAACCTTTCTTTGCTTTCAGTGTAAGTTTATGCGAAGAGATTTTATTCCAAGCATTTTTCGAGCATTTCTATTTGTCCAGGCCTTATGAAATGTTCACACATTGTAAATGACAGCTGCTGGGCTCAAATGATGTAGAAAAGAAAAAAATGAAAAATTGGAGATACATGTTTTTCTTTAGACAGCAATGATATCCATTTTTCAGGCCTGCTTTATTCTATTGAATTAAACAAGCTGTTTTGGTTGCCATGCTTTTAAAGATTGATATGTGTAAATAACCACTGTTCTGATTGGCTACTTTGCGTGGTTTGCAATTCAAAAAGCAGTCCAGGCTGAAACACTTTATGCCTTCAACATGAATGGACAGAGCTAAGCTGCAATAGACTCCCATATTCATGTGGATATATGTAAATCCAATGATTTTCATGATATCAGAAAACAACTAATTCAAAGTGGGCCACTTAGTTTCCATGTATAGACTGACTGAGGAGTGAACTGTTCATTTTGGAGCTTTAACAATGTTTACATACTACATCAAACTTGTTTAAAAAAAAAAAGAGGAAAATTTGGTTTTCTATTGTAAGCACCCTATAATTCCTTTTATTCTACCCTTGTCCTGAATAACTGTTAGTGCATTGTGAAAAGTATGCACTGTGATTCACCACTCCATAAGCCAGCTGACGCTGAGGATCCACTGTACTTTACACAGCAAGTTAGTGATTATCTTTCATATGGTTTGTTAGTCAGTGGTTTGTGCACTGGACCAGTCATTTGCTTCTTCTTGGTTGTGGTTCCTATATTATTTTGCAATACAGCACAGATGCAGGATATATAAATAGAGCGCTGAACTGCTCCTAACTATTCTCTTTATATTGTGCTTAAATGGCTCTTCTTATGGCCAACTGAATTTTCTGCACTTTTTTTAATAAAAAAAAGTTTACTGTGGTATGCAAACGTTAAAATTTCAAAGCATATCATTTACAGTCCATATACGAAAACTAAGCTACAAGAACATCTTGTTTTAAAATCATTTTTGTGATGTCACAAGAAGTTATAAGGAGTGTTTCAGCCTGGACTGCTTAAGGATTAAGGCACAGTAAAGGCCAATCAGAACAGTGATCATTAGTCTTGTTAGTTCCTGACCCAGGTCCAGAAACTCTAAAGGGCTTTCTCAAAGTGGTCCCCACCCACTAACACTTCAATACAGAGCGCCGCTCTGTGCTGGGAAGGACTCTCCTACATGGGTAAATTTTGGGATGCCCTTACCATGCCCCAGCAGAAGGAAGAAGGTGCCCTCACAGTAGCTACAGAAAGACCTTGTGCTTGCTGAGCTGTGTTATCATTACTGGGCAGAATGTAAAATATTTAACGTTTTTAATATTTAAAGTTTTATTCTCACCACACGAACTCCATGATTTTTTGTAGGACGTTGTGAAAAGGCTTTGTGAGAAACATGCCTCCCTAAAACACCTCACAGCATAACCAAACATAGGTGATAAGGTGAAATAAGGTGAAACTAACATGCTGGTTCTGCCATCCTGCTAAACATGTTCCTCTTCCATAAAATGTTTTCATAAGTCTGTATCAATGCTTTATAGTATATTCCCACTCCCCACTAAAATGCTTTGAGGTAGCCCTTAATACGGTGAGCCCTCCATGTGAAAATGCGCAAACAGATGTAGAATGAATAGGTAGAGAAAGTAGGGCCAGAAACAGACAGTTACTGTTTCTGCCTACAGATCCAGCTCCTCTTTTCTATGACCTGGAAACTGATTTTGTGATGGCATCTTCCTGGCTGTCCAAATACCAGAGGAGACAAGAGAAGCTGCTGCTAACACCTGCTGAAGAAGCTTCTTGTGGAGAATACATGAGTGTCTGCTACCCAGGAAGTCTTAGAGATTTTAGAGTGACATCACTGCATGCACGCCTTCTTCTGCAGGCCCCCTAATGGCCATTCCACTGGTGGAATGAAAATTGACTGATATTTTTAATCAATATAATCAAATGAAATATTTTTCCCTTTAACTTTGACTATCTGATTAACTAGGACACTGCTGTGAAATGTTGTAACTGTGTTGAGCTGCCAGCGAGCAATGAGGGGCGAAAAGGGAGAAGTGACAAACCCCTGCTTCAGATCTCTTCACAAAGGTCCATGCCGAGATAAATTGGACGTGTGTCTGTGGTTTAACAAAGATCCCTACAGTCTATGCTTCTCTCTGTTATAAATAGACACAGGCTAAATCTCAAAAGCCCCCCTTCTCCCTGTATGCACACCCAAACAGTGCCCTATATAGGTGCACCCCAGTCGCCCTTGTAGTTCCCTGCAAAGTGTACTGCACAGGGAATTCAGACATTTTAAGTGTGATTCCAAACACAGAAAGCGAAAAAGTTCAAACTGCACAGGGAGTAGTGAACAACAGTTTATCATTTCGCAGGAAGCTGCAGGAAAGTTGCATTATCTTTTGAAGATGCGTGTTTCATTATAACGCTGTAGGACGTTCCGAATAAAGATCAACTGCAGCTCCCTTAACCGACATCTCGTACTCAAATATGGGGAATACGACAGCTGTTTAGGAACCCTGTGGAAGGGAATGCAGCCCACGTCTTCTACACCCAGACAGTGCAATATATGTGCAGCAGGGAATTGTGCACACGTGGCTGAGTCACAAACGGCTATTTGTTAGGCATATCATACATTTGGGTGCAGGGGCCATAATTTTAAGACCAACGTAGTGCACTACTTAGGGAGTAGGGAGCCATTTGAGATTCAGCCACAGCGTATATGGCGGCCGCTTCTTAAATATAACGTTTCCGAATAGTTGAAAAAAACTTCTATTCCTGTTTACCTTCCTTGCATTTTACTGGTCTGGTAATCGTGTGAGGCCATGGACGTACAAATCGGGGAAAAGTAAGAGAAGTAAACAGAAAAGGAAGTTTCGTTCAACTATTCGGGACGCAGCCAGGATATGAGCTCGGTAGCACCGCCCATTATGAACAACGTGCGTTTAACACGGTCTTGATGACAAGTTTTTCATCATTATAATTATTATTATTACACAAAAATGTAAATCTGTTGCCTCTCCTTTTGTTTTTAATAGTAATAATTAACCACAAAATTATCATAAAATAAATTTAGAAAGTCAAATGAGTGACGTCACGCCGTGGTCCGTTGACAAGGCGTGTTGGCGGAAATTTTTGAAAACGGCGAAGAAAGGAACAGCCCCGAAAAACTGGAGATTCATCTAAGGTATTCTTGAGGATGGTTAAACATTTAGCAACGAATATATGCAATCATTGCGCAATTATTGGAAAAATTGTAAATATTTTAGTATTGTGACCGTTTGTCCGGTTTTAGTTGCTGTTTTCATTTTCCAGAATTAGCCATGTCGCTAGCTAACGTTGGTTAAAGCTGACCTCCGTTTTGTTTTCTCTGGTGTCTGGTCGTGTGTGTGGAGCTGGCTAAGCCTTTAGCTTGGTATCAAAGTTATTTACCTGGGCTCTGCCCATTTGTATGGTGTATATTTTAACTCTTTCCTGTTTAATTTCTCGATGTTTAGCGGCTTAACGTTAGTTAACGAAAGTGAAGTTGGTTCCATGTCTGCCAGCTTTGTATTCGAATATTCCGTTCCACCTTAAATGGTGCAGCAGTTGCATTCAGTCAGAATGTATCACGCAGCTGACGTTAGCTTCTTATGCGACTTTACCGTTCCACCTTAAATGGTGCAGCAAATAAAATAATCGTCCACAGAATAGAGAAAAGAATGAAATAAAAATACTCTCTAATGCCAGACTCACCTCTGTTCTTTAGTTAGTGCCAGCACTCCATAATTAATAAATTGAGCAGAACAGTTAAATACAATGAAATTTAAACAACGTAGACAACTTTAGTGATTTTGTTCCTGTGGTCTTTTATTCATTATAAGGTTACATTTGCGTACAGTGGCACATCTGTTTTATTGCTTGTGATTCAAGTAGCATCAGTGTAAGTCTTGATAGCATGTCAAGCCAGACGAGGGCACTCTTGTTATTTAGTGATGCTTAAGTTAGGCTTTATATCTTTTGAGTTCTCCTTTAACAGTACTAGTAATAAGTGAGTTCTAAATAAATACAAACATTTGCACAAAATGAGACTCTGAATGATTACAAATATTGGCTGCATTATCTGTGCATCTAGTGAAATTTTCAACAAACCAGAATACTGAAACAGTCTTTAACATTCATTTTTGTTAGTGTTAAGCAACGTTGATGACACTATATCACACTCAATATTGATCAAATTAAATAACAATATTTTCCAAATATATTTGTCAAATCATAGTCAAATCAACCCATGCTTTAAAAAAATAATGTTAGCATTAATGAGGTTTTGGAATTCATGCTTTGTGAGTATTGCTGCTTTGTGCTAAAAATCACATAGCTTCTTTTGATTCAGTTGTTGTTGTTGTTATTTTTTATTTATTTTTTTTTGGTAAACATTACCCAGACATTCATTCATTCATTCAGAACCATTCTTTGACAATCTTAGGCATCCAGCAACTATTATGCATTGCATTTGATGATCAGATCTTGGATTTTTTCATACTTTGGATGTTACAGTTTGGGTATTTTCTCCTGTAGAAATTTAAACCCAAAGCCTGTCTGAATATTATTGGAGCCTGTTAGCCTGTTGGGTGTATACCCAGGTTGCTGTATTGAGAACAGCATATGGTCCAGTCAGTTAACAATGAATAAGAGCTAATATCAGTGAAAAAGAGCCACAGAACACAGAAATGTATCCTTTGATATGTAATGTTGCATCTGTTTTACCTGTCAATCAGAGATGTCTGCATTTGCACGTTTTGTATGTTTTAAATGTGTGATTTCAGTATCTGAGAGGTGTTTAGTAGAATTGTGCATGGGTAATCAAGTACTTTTGTATAGTACTGAAAAATTAAAATACTAAAAGCACTATTCAGGTTTTTGTTATCATAGGAAGTCATTTTTATATCAATCACAATTTGAAAGAGTGCAGTTTTGCAATTATGTTACATTATTCAGTGTTGTCTTAACAAGATTAAAGCGGGTAAATTTAATGTAATAGTGTAGCTTGTGAACTTATAGTTTAGCACATTACATTTAGCATTCAAGCTGTGTTAAGACCGAAAAAATGGATGTGCTGGTCTTCTCTGAGAAAAAAAGGCCTAGAGTTTAATTTCTGGATAATAATCATAATTAAATTGTAGTCTCAGTATTGGTCAGAAACAGTGCAATTAGATATTTTGCTCAAATCGTTTAGCCCTAACTAATCTATTGTTTGTTTGTTTGTTTGTTTTTTTGTGTTTTGTTTTGTTTTTGTTTTTTTTAAGAATTTAATAGCCCCAGTTAGACCACAGTTTATCATGAGCCATGAGTAAGAATTACATATGACATATGGCCTTTAATGAGATTATGTGGTGATATTTCATAGAACATTTGTTGTACATTGAATATTTTTTTTCCGTTAGTTATGGTTAACCAAATATCCACCCATTACAGAATGTCTTACAGATACTCAAATATCAAAATTAATTAGAACGCACCTCCCTAGTGTTGAGCCTTAGTCATTTGATATGGAATTTTGCCTGTATGTCTTTTGAAAGTACTGACCTGAGTGGACCACAAGGTTTTATAGAAGTGTGAAGGAACACATTCAGTGACAAGTCTTGTGTAGTAGCCTGTCTTTAATCTGATAAAAAGTGATGTGGACAGTCCTGCTTTAAATTATTGAGATTTGAACAAATGAGTGTTTCTATGTCATTTTTCTACTTCTACTTTTAATGGTATATAATGATGTAAATGACGCCTTGCTCCTGCTTTAGAGTCCACGATGAGCCGAAGACCTAGCAGAAGATTTTCTGAGATGCCAATGCGTGCAACTGATGGCAGAATGAGTTTGGTGAATGCGACGCCGCAGAAGTATGTGTTAATCTGTGTGTCACTTTGCACTGTATTTATAACTGTAAACACATTTAGTTTCTGATTGGTTTACACAGTACTGCACTACAGTATGTTTCTAGATTATGATTGTTTATGTATGTGTCTTACATGAAACCTTTTTTACACTTAGCAAAGACAATGTCTTTGGAAAGCTGAACATCCCAAAACCTCAGTCTGGCACATCAGAGAGGAGGACCAGCTTTTTTGGAAAGTGAGTCTGATTGTTAACTGTGCTCTGTGTTCTAACAGTTGATACCGTATGTCTCTTCTGTGTGTTTCTAACAAATGGCTGAAAATGAGATGTTGTCATAATCCTGTATAATTGGAGTTCTTATCCTTGATGCAGTATAATCCAAGGTGTTGTGTAGGTGAATTCCTGTCATTTGATTTGCAGTGCCTTTACTTAGCTGTTTGCTGTTAGTTAAGTTTGCTAGGTTTCTATAATAACAACTCTGTTTCAGTTATATAAGCAGAGAAGTAATAACTAAACCTACTAGTTTTAGCTTTTTTGACAGTCTTTTACTTGAATTTCTACAGAGGTGCTGGTGGTGGTGGCCAGAGAAACAGCTTGTTTGGGTCCTATGGGGGCACAGAAAAGATCAAGGATCCCAGACCCCTTCATGACAAAGCTTTTGTCCAGCAGTGTATCAAACAGCTTTGTGAGGTGTGCTCAATGTTAATTCAAGAGTTTCTTCAATATAATATGAATTCTAAGTGTGGTTTCCCCCTATTGGAAAGCTTGGCAGATATTGTCATTGGCTACTTGGCTACTAAACACTTTTTTTTGACACTGTACCCTATAATACTGGAAATCAGTCAAAAGGATTTCATGGCCATTTGAATGGAGCCATCATGTTATGCTCAATGGAATCAATTTCTCATATTCTTTGTAGTTTCTTGGAGATAGTGGATTCCCTGGCACAATCACAGTAAAGGCCCTCCAGTCGCCTTCTACTAAAGAGTTCCTGAAGATATTTGAGTTCATCTACAGTTTGTTGGACCCTACCTTTCAGATGCCCACTGCCAAAGTTGAAGAGGAGATTCCTAGGATGTTGAAGGACTTGGGGTAAAAAATGGACTAGGCGTTTAGTGAATTTTAAATTATGGGCAACACAGTTCTCCTTAAGAAGTATACTTTTCCAGAAATGTCTCTGATATCATCCTAATAATAGTTCCTGTGGTGCTTGTCGCTCTTTTCTTTCAGGTACCCATTTCCATTGTCAAAAAGCTCCATGTACTCCATTGGGGCTCCACATACCTGGCCACAGGCTCTAGGGGCACTCATCTGGCTCATTGACACAGTTAAAGTAAGTTCAGTCAATGAATGGACCTTTTGTAGTTGAATCAGGAGTGTTGCATTATGAATAATATTATCGACATCTGCCAAAAACAGTTGTACGTTCTTGCTGTTCACAGTTTTTCAAAATGAAAATTCATACATTAAAAACAAATGAAAACACTTATGATATTGATATTTAATTTAAAGTACTGCTTTCCCCGATCTTGAGAATGGGCTTTTCAGTGTTATCGTGTAAAGAAATCTTGTAATTGGTCTTGCAGATCTTTAACAGTATGAAAGGTCAGAACCTACTGTTTGCTGACTTCTCAGATGGCTCCACTGAGCTAGAGGAGGGTGTCGAATACAACAAGGTATGGTTTGTTCACTTTCAGCAAACACTTATTAACCAGCATTGCATACAAACTCTACTATCCCATAAGTACTGTGATTGCTAACCTCAGAGTCGGTTTTGAGGATATGGATATAGTGACACCACTTGTTAAAGTAGAAATCAAATTGATTAAATCTTTAAGAAAAACATTTTAAATAATGCTAATTCACGTTTTTGAGACCACCTTTGCAAAAAGGTCTAAAAAATTCTGTGATGTTTTTTTTTTTTCTGAAATGTAACAATGTTAACAGTATGTTCCATGTGTCTACAGCTCTTCTTAGACTACTGTTCTAAGACCTACAATAACTTCATGCAGGGAGCAGACACCTTTGAGGATGAGGATGCAGAATACCTCAGCCATCTGAGTGAGTTAGACCTGGTCACCTTTCTGAGGCCAGTAATGTAATTAAGATTTCACAGTGATATCCTGACTTCTCTTGAACAAATCTGATGATGTATAATGACAATTGCGAGAAGTAAATATGTGTAAACATAAATGTTAATGATGTCTAAAACTTAAGAATACCCTGAATTAAACCAACGCAACATGTCTTTCATAATTGAAGTACTGTATCTTCTCACTGCAAAATAGAAAAAAGTAGGAACTTCAGGTCAGGTAAAACAAGCTATTACTGAGCAGGACACACTAAGGTCTGTAGAATAAGACGATATAACCTTTCCCCTAACCCCTTGCTGTTATCTGTGGCTAGTGTTAATTGTTGTTATTAATAATTTTGATGTGTATCTGATGCTCACAGAGAGGCTGTACAATGTGGATGAAGCTCTACTAGAGTCACAACAGGAAAAACACAGGATTCTGATGGAGGAGGTGGAGAGACTAGAGAAAGAGAGTCATACTGTAAGTATTTGCATTTTGTTAACTTGATACTTTAGCTTTAGAATTTCATCAGCTCATTTATCAGCTGATCATTTAAACCTCCAAAATGATATTTGGATGGGAGGTTTACATGATTTCGAAGTTTTATAAGGAGAGATGCATTAATGTAATGATTAATACCAGAGTATCTCTATGATTTCAGTCCTTTCCAGACCTGTCATGTCTCATGTAACATTTTAATCTGTAAAGATTATGGTAGTTTTAACCTACTATAACATGAACTGTAGAAATACCCCAGGTTCTTTTAATCTGAGTGCCAGTTAACATATTGGTACATAATATCATATCCTGGCCTGAAGTATAATAAACAATAATAAGTTCAATTTATATAGCATCTTTCTCAAACTCAGGGTTGCTTTACAGAGGCAAGGGGGGGGGGCAAATCACATCAGTAAGGGGAAGAGTGCTAAGAAAAGAGTTTTAAGCTGAGCTATAATGGAGGAAAGTGAGGGACAGCCACAGAGATGTTGCAGTTAAGTTCAGCTCAAGATAGATGGTTTTAATAACATAAATTATGATAAATTTCAGAATGTTTTCTATTTCAGTATTATGCACCAAATTTTTTTGTTGCAACAACAATGTGCCTATCATGTAGACATTCTTATCTCTGTAGTTCATGTGGTTTATCTCTTCTCAATTGTGAATTGGTCATAAATATTATAGACATATTGTGGTAGCATTACAGACATGTCTGGAGAACTCACCTAATATTACTTAAACACTTGGTTTTATTGTTTTGTTTGTATGTGTATGTGTGCATAGGACCGGTTGATGGCACAGAGGACTGAGAAGCTGAGGTTACAGACTGATCTGCAGAAACTTCAAAGCTACCGTGCTCACATGGAATCATTCAAAAGTCACCTGGAAAACAAGGCCACAGGGCTGTCTGAGGAGCTGGAGGCTGCTGGTACGAGTTTTTTCGCTTAGATGTTTCATGCTGTGTATAATTATACAGTGCTTTCAAAATAATAAGTTAGGTTATTTAAATGAAATTGTTCTCGTTACTGAAATACAGAAGCCAAATACAGTAACTTTTTTTTTCAACATAAATACGACTTAAATTTTGCTAAATAACCATACTTATCCAATGAAATATTACAGGACTATTATACCATCCATGAGACAATAATAATATCCCCATTATGGAAGATGAGATTGTATCTGTAATGTCAATGCATTTATTTTCTTATAACCAGAATTAATCAATTGTTTTCTCAAATGTTCAACAGACTGTGAAAAGTTTGATTCTAAACTAGATTTAAAAAAAAGACCTCCCCTAGCTTTCCATATGGTTTTAAATACAATTCTTACAAATAAATGTCTGTCTGTCTAGACCTTCAGCTAGAAAGTCTGAAGCAGGACAAGGCAAGACTGCAGCACATTCTGGAGAATCAGAAGTTCACTCCAGCCGATATTGAGCGCATCAACAGGGAGAGAAATGAGCTACAACAGACCGTCAGCAGTCTGAGCCGCAGTCTTGAGGAGGCCCAGCAGCTAGCATGGAATGAGGAGATCACCCTTGTCAAAACCAGGGAGAGGGTAAGTAGGCTACTTTCTGCCGTTCCTTTTAACCATCTACTACATCATTCCTATATTCATAACTGCTCAATTATCTTGATCAACTACGGGCTGGTTTGGAATATTTCCCCTCAAGCAGTTGGGAGTGGATTTAGATATTGTATACAAGTAGCTACAGTGTTGTGTATTCCGGGGTGGGGAACCGAGGACTGGAGTCCAACACAGTTTGTTGATTTCTCTGCTCTGACACAACAACTAAACCTGGTATTTGACTGCTGAGTTGAATGAAGTGTGTGTAGGCAGAAAAATAACCGAACTGTGCAGGACTCTGTTCCTCCAGGACTGGAGTTCCCCACCTCTGATTTATCTGTATAATGCTAACAGACATCATGCATGTTTTATACCCCAAAATATTAAAAATTTTCAATTAAGCCAACTTCTTTGGAGTTTATGTTAAGTTTACAACTTCTGCCTGTATAGCTAGAAGCAAATTACACTCTTAGTTAAATTTGACTGATTATGCATGCCCAACATGCACCTAGTGAGTCTCAGTGTTTATGCTTCTGTCTAGTTGAACATTCCTGCTTATTGTGAACTGCTTCAGATGAGTAAATATAATACAGCAGTACTATAATAGCTCTTTGGGTAATGAGGGACAGTTCAATTCCTTATAGGCAATTTATAGTGGTTGATATTTGCATGGAGATATCCTATAACCTCTTTTAACCAATTAAGACATTTCTCCCATGTGTAAACTGTAGGCTGAGGTAAAGTTGGCAGAGTACCACAAATTGGCACGCATGCTCAAGCTCATTCCCCAGTCTGCAGAGAATGCTTGTGGCCATGACTTTGAGATCAAAACAGTCAGCGACTATGGCCCCACCACTGCCACCCAGATCAGAACACAGATACAGGTACGAGAGTTCACCACCACAAACAAACCCAGGCTGCAGAATGTACATGCTATGACTTCTCTGCTCACAGTATCACTTTCTTGTTGATGTCTGTACAGAATCCTCTCAAAAACATGCTTTTGGATGTAGAAGAAGAGTTCAGCAGTCTGACCAATATGAAGCTTAGTCTAGAGGAGACGGTGGAACAGGTATGAAAGCTCTCCTACACTCATTACTTTAGCTTTATCTATTAAAAGACTCAGAAGTGGGGGTTTAGGTTTTTCATGTTGGCAGCTAATGTTCATTTCCACAATATGCTATGTTTGCATTGGCAGTCTGAACTACTGAAAAATGACAGACAGATTAATTATCTCTTGCTGCTTGCTGCTTCAGATAAAGTCTAACATTTCTGAGAAGATGAACGACATAAAGCAGATTAAAGATCAAATCCGCAGACTGGACCAGCAGCTGGAGCATGACATGCAGGTATGTCAACCAGAGATGGGTGTTTGAAATGTTCAATTACTGTTTCTGCACTTTAAGCACTTAAAAATGGTAAAAGGGAAAACAGTGAAATCTTCCAGTTCATAGATGCATCAGTTAGCTCCTCTTGCCATCAAAACATGCTGGTTACAAACATAGAAATAGAAGCTGTTCATCATTAATGCCTGACTGATCTGTAAAGGGAATAAAGTGAACCCTTGCAATATTCTTTGTAGTTTTATACCAGATTACTCTAGGATTTTAAAGTGTTTATGATGAATGTTATGTGAAATACTACGCTATAGCTATGTTTTAAACAACTGGGGTAAAAATGAATTAGTTTGCATTGATAAAAATAAGCACTAAAGTATTGTTTGAGTAGGAGATGGCTCAAGAAGAGGAAAAGTGGGCAGCAGATGTGGATTCTGCTGAAAGAAACAAAAAGCTTCTAGAAAAGAAGGTCATGGATGGCTACGAGGAGGCTGAAGAGCAACTGAAAGCAGCCCAACAACAGTGAGAGATCATGCACAACTTTGTTCTGTCATCCTTTTAACTTTTTATTATATTTTTTTTGGACAATAGAGTAGGAAGATGGTCTGTATTCCTCTTAAGTAGATGATTTTTGTTCTTCCATCAGGTACCACCTTGTGCTTCAGGAAACCAAAGAGGAGAGCCGGTTGGTGGCAAACAATTTGACTCATGTCTTCAGTGCTGCAGCCAACCACTTGGGTATAGTTGAGGTAAGAAAACACTGACATTACTTAAGATAATTACCAGCTATGAGGTTATGAAAGCAAGTCTACATGAATTTGATCAGAAGTCCAAGTTTAGGACTACTAATAAATTCTGAAATATATTAGCAGTGCTCAAATTGTGGGCTTTGATTACTTCTTCTGTTGTTTTAAGTGTAAGTGAGGTATTGTGTGTGTACATATATATATATATATATATATATTATATATATATATATATATATATATATATATATATATATATATATAATATATATATATATATATACACTGTGTGTGTGTGTGTGTGTGTGTATATATATATTACTGTGTTTGAGTGGTTTAACATGTTTTGGGCTTCTTTCAGAAACATTGTAACGACCAGCTGAAAAAGATGGACAAGATGAACGAAATTGTTCGGGAAGACCAAGCAGACCTGCATCAGCTGAAGGAAATGATAGAATACTTTGTCACTAGAGCAGATAGCTTTGCGTGACTGAATGGGAAGCCAATTTGTAAATAGTTTTGCACTCAGTTACTAATGCTACTTACATGTGTAATTTGTACCCGTTACTCTTTGTATTCTGTTTAATAAATGTGTTCTTTTTTCCAGCCAACCTGTATCCGTTGAAATAAGTGCTAATTGTCACAGTTATTAATGTTTTATGGATGGGGTGGAGGCAAAGAGTAGAAATACCAATGTATTTTCTGTTGTGCACATTATGTGTTGCTTACAAGGTAGTTAACAAGATTCTACACAAGTCCTGGATGTGGGTGTAAAGGCTTTTAAAAATTAGTGCCTGCATCAACTGTGCTGACAGATTTGTTATATAGTTTTTAATAATAGTTTAATGTTTCCTTGCATTTGACCATTTAACTCTTTGTAGAAATGTGTGGTACTTATGATAAATGTTTTAAATTCCTATTACGGTCACTATATGACTAAAATTAAAGAATCCAAGCTTTTACAATAACAGATTACACAAACAATGGGTAAAAGTATTCAGAAGGATCACTATTTCAGTCCAGCTTATTTATTACAATTAAGGTAGTTTAACATAAAGTCTAATACAGTTCACAGTGTAGAATACATGTAAGTAAAACTATTCAAACGGCAATAACATTCAACAAGCGCTAGCCTGTCTCCTTAACATGTAAATCAAATATAGGATGTTTGTTTATTAATGACCTGTGTAGTAGTGGGCAAACAAATGACTTATTTCAGGTTCATGCTTTCACAGTAGCTCGCCCAAGACCTGCCATGCTGAAGTTGTTTACCAAAGTGCCCGCCGACATTTCGAGTTCAGCCCCCAGCACCTAGTTGGCTAAAACGATGCGAGCTGTACCTTTTAAAATATGGGTCAACACAGCAAATTTCTGTGCATTTATAAAGTCGCTACGCTTAATTTATAGAATCATCAAGAGGAAGACGAGTCATTTGATTATTGCTGTAAATCTACACTGTTGCCTATTTTTAAGCATATTTGATTTTAAAAGTACGTTACTAAAATCATACTTTTATTTTGAATTGTACATGTGAATTGATTCGATTCTTTAGAAGTGCTTTGCTCAAATTTGGAAGTACCCAATCTTTCTTATTTCCTGCAAAAAACAATGGGATAAAGCAAATGAGATCGAGTCCTTATAAAATAACTGAACTACAGGGAACACGTTTCTTGTTCAACAGCACTACTTTCAAAACTAATATCGGTGTACACGTACCATAAAGAGTTGTTAGTGTAACATGGAGTTAGTGTGTTCCGCTCGGCTCAGAGTCGGTTCACAATGAACTGAATGTAAATGGACTGATATAATGATTCACTCACGGAATCGATTCCCTGTGCTGGCTACGCCTTACAGCTGCTTCAGACTGGGACAGAAGAAACAGCACACGACAAAAAGTGGTTATGTCAGTTTTAACGAACAAATAGAGTTTTTGCTGTATATGTGATTTTTGCACAGAACCCTTCGCGTTGTAACCCCGCCATAACACGGGTCAGTGTTTATGGGGTTTGTGGAGAAATTAATGGTTTTAATGCTCGAGGTTAGCTAGCTAGGTAAGTTTGTAGTTTAGCAGCTAGCTAGCCAGCTAGCGCCAAACTTTTGGCGTGTGTTGATGTGAGGCCAAACCATGGAAGTGCTGGAAAATTGCTTACCTGTTGAGTAGCTAACTAGATAAATTGTTATAAAAGGGAATAGGGAAAAGCCATTTTAACTCGGGATTAACTTGCTGAAATTCTTTGATCCTAAATGTGCTTGTTTTAACGTTAACTTGTTCAGTGGCGAGAAAAGAAAAAAACACACCTAAATTAAACTAGTGTTGACAAGTTAATTTCAGCTAGCCAACAAACGTTAGATAGCAGCATTTTAGTAGTCAGCTAGCCAGGTAAAGTTAATCTGACCAAAGCACTGGAATGCGCTAGACTGCCTTGTCATTATTTCTGCATCAACAACTTTGTTAACCTAGCTGTCTAACGCCAGCTAAGTTAACCTAGTTACCCTCTTGATCAAAGTGTAACGTCGTCGTTCTTGGCGGTGCATAGTATTGATTTTCCAATATTGTCTCATTGTTAGCATTCTCATCAGCTGCACGACTGTCAAGAAAATGTCATTGGAAGATTATGAGAGACACTACGCGTCGCTCTCGGACTCGGGATGTGAATCTGTCAGTGGCCCACACACATCTGGCACATTCAGCAGCGAAGAGGAAAAGTTGCACTACATTCCCATTCGAGTCTTGGGTAAAGGGGCTTTTGGTGAAGCCACCTTATACAGACGCACCGAGGTAGGCACTGTCAATAGTCCTGTCTTCTGTTTTTTACTGTAGTGACAAGCGCTTGCTTTTGATCACTGTCTTAATCGTTTTTTTTTGTTTGTTTTATTATCAATAATTTAAATAATTGAAAACACAATGGAACTGAAAACGTGAAAGAATAGTTTGTCCTGAACTCATTTGGTATGTTGACCACTCTGCCCCTTTTCAGTTTTCTCACTTAAGTTAGAGATGCCAGAGTGAGAGCAAGATGCATTGAGGGATCATTTGTGTCCTATGAAACGAAACTATATTTTCCTTGCTTTTTTAAAATAAGAGAAGTTTGATGTATGTAACCATCGTTAAAGTTTCAAAACTTACCTTTTTTAACTTCCTGGTCCATATGTGGGAATTAAGCTGTAAACCATCCCATTTTGAATTCACTGTGTTTGCGATGTCAGGAAAACCAAGGTATTTACATATATCCATCAGTTTTGCTTGCCCTTTTACATTGAAGTCATAAGGAGTGTTTCAGCACTGACTGTGTTTTGAAAGAGGTACAATACAAGGCAGCCAATCAGATCACAGGTCATTTACATATTAGTGTTAAAAGCACAGTAATGAAAAAACACCTGGTTTTTGTAAGGGATAAAGAGAGGAAAGTTTTATAGAAGTTAACTTAAAGAAGAATTATAACTGCTGTGCACATAAACCCACACAAATGTTGTTATAAACGGACCTCAACAGAAAAGGTAAAATACAATAAAATGTAGATTGTGGTCCTTTTAAATGGTCCAGTTTTTGTGCCAGTGTAATTCAGTTGGTAAGAGCAGTGAAATTTAGAAGGATTGAGATGTAGGTACATAAGCTAATTACCCTGTACCATTGAGAAAGTGCTTAATGTCTGTTGTGAGTGATCATTATTCTAGGGACTCTAGAGATTCTAGTGGTTCAATTTTGTTATTTTTGTAAAGGAGTAGCTTCTCCAGGTATCTTATCAGAGTTTATTTGTATTTTTAGTCAGTTGTTGTGAGACTTTTAACAAAGCTGACAGGGGCATGTTTTTTTTTCCTTTTCAGGATAATTCTCTGGTTGTTTGGAAAGAGATTGATCTGAATAATCTCTCAGACAAAAAGCGCAGAGATGTCATGAATGAAATCAGCATCCTGTCCATTCTCCAGCATCACAACATCATAGCGTATTTCAACCACTTCTTGGACAAGAACACCCTGCTGATTGAGCTGGAGTACTGCAATGGTCAGAAAACCTCTTTCATTTTTCAGAAGTTACATTCTAGTATTTACTTAGCAAATTTGCTAAATATAAGACCAGCATTCAAAAGGATTATAGGTTATGTATATTAATATCCTTTTTTTCTCCAGGTGGAAATCTTTATGACAAAATTAACCAACAGAAAGGGAAGCTGTTCACAGAGGAGGTTATTTATTTTCAAATTTACATTAATTTAAAATCTGAGGCAAATTGTATGGCTAATGTTTTAAACTTAACTCTTGTTGATTTTTCCTAGGTGGTCATATGGTATTTGTACCAGATTGCCTCAGCTGTGGCTCATATTCATAAAGCTGGTGTCCTGCACAGGTAAGAGGCATGTTATTTCTATCGAGTGTAAGTGCTTATAGTTATGCCTTTTGATTTTTTTTTCCTGAACATAAGCAAACATTCATCTAATGGAAATTTAATGTGCATTTCTACATTTTCTACAGGGATATCAAAACGTTAAATATCTTTCTCACTAAGACAAACTTGATAAAGCTAGGAGACTATGGTTTGGCCAAGAAGCTGGACTCAGAGTATTCAATGGCTGAGACGGTGAGTGATTTCAGCTGCTTTGCATTTTATTTTGAAATGATTCACTTCCTTCCTCTTTCTTTTTGTATCTTATTTTAAATAGATTTACATTAGACTTTTACTTGATTTGGTAGTAGAGTTTTTTTTGCCTCAGGGCATGTAGAATATTTTCCCCGTTTTGCAGACACATAAGTGGCTCTCAAGGTGTGCTGCAGTCTGTAATTTTTGGTCATATCTTTCCAGTGTGTAGGTACACCATACTACATGTCGCCTGAGCTTTGTCAAGGAGTGAAGTACAACTTTAAATCAGACATATGGGCCATGGGCTGTGTCTTATTTGAGCTTCTGACTCTCACTAGGACCTTTGATGCAACGGTATTCATCCCAGTCTTTTTTTCCAGTCTGCCCTTTGATAGAGTTGATAGTTAATGAAGCAGTATTGCTTATTTTACATTTTGAACTTTTCAGAATCCTCTGAACCTGTGCGTGAAGATTGTCCAGGGCAATTGGACCATGGAGATGAACTCTGATGTTTATTCACCTGAGCTCATAAAGATAGTCTATGCGTGCTTAGATCAAGTGAGCATGTGCAGCTTTAAATATTTATTTTTTTGCTGGTTTATGTTTAGTCATATGGGTATGGATAGTCTCACAGAAATTCATAGAAGTCTTTTATGTAAAATTTTGGTCAAAGACAGCAAAAAAGGAGCATATCATTTGGTTAACACATTGCTCACAGCAGATTCAGTGAAAGCATGCATGTTTGTGTTACAGGATCCAGAGAAGAGACCTACTGCTGACCAGATTCTTGACCAGCCCATCATATCTTGTGTTAGACAGTGAGTAATAACAGGGAAAGGTTGACAAGGGTGTAATTTGTAAGGGATGAAAGATGTTAGATTCGAAGATTGATGAAGAGTGTTAGTACATCACTGAAGAAAACTACATTGTCCAGTGTTTATTCTGTCATTTTTTTAGTTTTGCTGCAGCATCTTATTCCAGTGTTTTCAAACTAGTTAAACCTACTCTTATGCTGAATAAAGCCTAAAAT